CACTCAGACAGGAGAAGAGGTGTGGCCAGTCTGTCCCCAGAGCCTATGAGCTTACCACTAGGTGACAGTGCTTCCAGGTAGCACATGTGGTGAGGTTTTAGCTTCAAAATGAACCAATAAAAAACACGGGGCTGGATGCGGTGGCTCACGCCTGTAATTCCAGCACTCTGGGAGGCCAAGGCGGGTGGATCACCTGAGACCAGGAGTTTGAGACCAGCCTGGCCAACATGGTGAGACCCCGTCTCTACTAAAAATACAAAAGTTAGCCGGGCGTGGTGTCGGGAGCCTGTAATCCCAGCTAGCCAGGAGGCCCAGGTAGGAGAATCACTTGAACCTGGAAGGCAGAGGTTGCAATGAGCCAAGGTCACACCACTCCAGAATCGGCAGTAAGAGCGAAATTCCGTCTCAGAACAAACAAACAAAAAAAAACCACAGGCAAAAAAGGCGTAAGCTACTAAAAAGTGGAAGAAACACTAAGAAACCTTAAGCAAATCACTAAAAATATGATGGAAAAATTATCGAATTCATTAGCAAATTTACTCTAATTCTAGATTTTCATTGAGGGGTAGGTTATATTACTCATGATGAATAAAAAAAAAGTTCATTTTAAGTTTATTAACACAAATACCATCAATATGGTTTGTGTTTAAATTTTCACCGAAAGCAATTCAGTGAAAACTGTGTATCATACAATTTTACAGCTCGCTAGTTGATGGCAAAGTAAATAGTCATCCAAATAAAAATAAAAATTGCAAAACATGATGTTTTTCACTGGTTGTTACTATTTTTCAGTAAGCATTTGATATATGCCAACAGATGATAATAACCAATTGCTAATGTCTTTCATCACTACATAAAGGTGGCTATAGGGTAGAATAGTATAAGGGCAAAGAAGGAATTGGAATCTAGCGTCAGCTCAGGTATGCATCAAGATAAACGCAGAGGCCGGGCGCGGTGGCTCATGTCTGTAATCCCAGCACTTTGGGAGGCTGAGGCAGGAAGATCACTTGAGGTCAGGAGTTTGAGACTAGCCTCATCATCATGGTGAAACCCCCTCTATACTAAAAATAGAAACATTAGCTGGGTATGGGCAGGTGCCTGTAGTCCCAGCTCCTTGGGAGAATGAGGCAGGAGAATTGCTTGAACCCAAGAGGCAGAGGTTGCAGTGAGTTGAGATCAGATCACTGCACTACAG